GCGACAAACTGCAGAGGTTGTAACAACTAACTGCGGTGACGGCGACTGACTAGCAGCGGAACGAAGCATTGTTGCTTGAGAAACAGAAACGAAGTGAGAACCCATTGGTGATAAGAGGAGGAAAGGTCCTGGTCATTTGGTGGAGGCATAAACCAGAACGCACGCACCAAAGCAGAACACATAAATGAGAGGGAGGTCCGACGATGCAGAAGCATGCAGCGAGCGACGTCAGCGACGGCGACGGCAGAGGCAGCGACCTTCTTCTGAGCAGCCTTCTTCTTGCTAGCGTCCGACACCATCCTTAATCGTTAATCGAAGACAAATTAAGAGGATTGGAAAGGAGAGACGAAAATAGATCTAAAATACGACCTAGGGTTTCGCGGAACAAAGAGAAATAAAACCCGAACCCGAGAGAAAGCTTAAGGTTCGAGGTTTGCGTTTTTGAAGGAGGTAGTTGTGGAGACAACGAAGATGACAACAATGACTGCTATGGAGGGTCAGAACAGAGAGCAGGAGGTCCGTCGAGTCGACGGAAAGCGACGCAGTGTGATTCCGACACCTTATATAAAATTAAAATAAAAGGGAAATAGGAAAACTAAAAAAGTAAAATAAAATAAAAATTATATATCTATTTTCTCTAATTAAGAAGATACTAAATATATTATCTCAATATTTGTACAATAGGCAACATTTGTACAATAGGCAACTTCTTGAACTTGTAACCATTATTACCAAATTTTGATTAACGATGATGAATTGAAATGCTAAGTTTCTATCTATTTATCAATTTCAATTTTTAGTTTTCCCAGCAATTAGAATGGTATACAACACCAAAAAGACTCGATTATTTACATAAATTTTACATCATGAGAAAACCAAGACCTGTACATAATAGGACAATTAGGGTGCAAAGATATTAGTCTTTTTCTAGACCGAGGAGAAGCATCAATTTCTATTGAACGGGTTTGAAAGATTTTTAAATATTATATACACAAAAAATTAATGGTATCAATCATTCACGAGATTTTGCACTTGCCAAGGCAGTAATGATAGACATAAAATTAAGTTTTGTTGCTCCCATTTAATTCGATTCGATGACGTAAGGTTTCGTTTATTTATAGATTGATTCCGAGAATAATTTTCCATTTTATAAGAGGATGAGTTTTTAGTTGAAGTCGTTTCTTTTAGCTGTCATACAGATATTATTGCTATCATCAGAATGCTTTATTTTGATTGATTCATATTATCTTTCTCGATTACTGATTGCTTTATCACATGTTTCTTTTTGTTGATTGACATAGCAGCTGTAAATCAGGAACTTCTCAATACTATAATATACATTTAAAAGTTTATATTAGGTTTAATACATCATTTCAGAGGTTTGATTCAAAATAATCTTATCTTTTAAAAAAATTTAGTAAGATCCCATATTTCATTAAAAAATATTCAATCTGATCATTTTCGCTCACACCATTAAAAACATAACGGTGCAAATGTCACTGTGGTCAAACCTGAGTGAGTTGTACAATTTGACGAATACGTGGCACGTTTGAAGAGGTTGTACTGTGTAAATATTTTTAAAAAAATTAAAATGACGTAAGTTAAGTGCAAATCCCAATAGTCACCACTGTCGAACCGATACTGGTGGGGAACCGCACCGCCGCATCTCGGTGGGTACTGGAGGGAATCCGGCGAGACCCGGAGGGGCGGGGGAGCCACTAGCTGGGTATCCTCAACGACGGCGACAGCGGGGGAGGAAGAACGCGCGGCCTGTGGTGGCTTGTGTGTGAAATAATAAGCAACCCTAAGCTACATTCCAGAACAACTCGAGAGAGTGCGCAAGAGAGAAACCACCACTTTTTGTCCTCCACCATAAGCGTAGTGAGTAATAGAGAGAAGATTGTGAGTACCAAGGAGTTGTGCAGGGGCCCTTGTTTCAGTCACAGGATTTTCTAAGAACCAAGGGGCCTTTAAAGAATTCACTGGAAAACCCAGGTAAGGGCAGTTAACATTTTTAGCATGATGTGTTTCCTTTGAAACTTGTTAATCTTGAGAAACGGGTGTGGATAGATAGTATACCCAATTGGAAGGTTGTGAGTTGCTAAGGAAAAAAATGGTTTGGGATGTTATTCTCAGAATATGAATGCACGGGTTGAAGGATTACAGTGCATGTGGTTTTGTAGTAAGGGATAAGTGCATATCGTGAATCTTTAGAGGGTAGCCGTGGGTTGGCTGGGTTAAGAATGTAAATAAGAGTAGGAAGTGTTAACATGTTGTATGAGTGAAATATGACAATAGAGTACATTGGTAATGGGTTGTGTTCTCAATATAGATACCAACATGGGTTTATTGGTATAATAAATTATTATTTTGTAATTGCATGAAATATTTGATGGGTATTAAATGTATGGAAGTGGTATAAATGTTGAGTAATGTATTGTCATCACATAATGGTATGAGCGCATGTTTTCTTTTAGCAATTGAAGAGTTTCAATGCATCTGGGCCAAGGTAAGATGAAGAGAAATATTATATTTTCTTCATGTATAGTGTAGATTAGGGATGACAACGGGTCGGGTCGGGCACGGATAGTGCCTACTCGCAATCCGACCCGCATGCAAAAAATTGTACCTGCAACTCAACCCGCTACCTGCTGGATATCTGCATAAAAAAAATCCACGGATTTTTTTCAACCTGCGGATACCCGTTTTCAACCCACAAATATTTAGAAAATATATTTTGTGAATTTTAAATAAGATTTAAATTAAATTACAAGTTAAAGAGAATAATTTAATATATTTGCTACATATTAAAAAAAACAATGTAATTTTTAAACAAGTTAAAGAAAACAAATACTGAACAACTTTTGAAAAAAATAAGATATGAGGAAGAAACACCTAATAACTGAAGTCTCAATTTAGTCACAGGATTAACCCACACCTATCAATGTATGAAATAGAGAGATAAAGAATTTTCAAGAGAACGCAAACAGGAACCCTAAACCCAAATTCCAAAAACAAACGTAATCATAGAAATCTCAAAACCGCGATAACCACCAAGGTCTTCAAAAATCCAATCTGCATCAATGAACTAAAATCCAAAAAACACTAAAAAACACTCATTCAAATCATAACCCCAAAAACGTGTCACCAATAAACAGGGAAGAAATCAAGAAACGAACTCCCAAAACGTGAATCAAAACATACCAAAGAAACCCCCAAAATCAGAGAACAAATAAAACCCTAATTTCAAATCTCAAATCGAAACAAAACCTCAAACAAAACCAAGAGAGAGAAGAAGAGGGAATGGAGCCTAGTCTCTATGCGAGCTGAACCAGAAGGAAGAAGTAAAGAGTCCTCCGTTAAGAGAGAATTTTCTAATGGGATTCTATGTATATGTTTGATATCTCTATTAGGGTTAGGTCAAAAGTAATGTAACCCTTTTTTTTCTTTAAAAAAAAAGGTAGTTGAAAGGAATCCTAAGTCATTGTTATTAAAATTTTCCTTTTTTAAGAGTAATAAAAAAATTAATTTTAAAAAATATTAATTAAATTTTTATAATTATTTTTTCGGGTAACGAGTATCCGCGGGTTGGATAGTATAATACCCACATCCGACCCGTTTAAAAGCGGGTATTAAAATATTCGCCAGCCGTTACCCGTGGGTAATAAATATTCGCGGATAGTAACTATCCGTCGCGGGTTTTATCCGCGGATATCCGTGGGCGCGGATTTTTTACCATCCCTAGTGTAGATGTTGGAATCCAGAGAGTTAGAATAGGTTCTTGATATTGACATTTAATGGTTTTCATGGTACCTACCTAGAGAGGAAAATCATAATATGGTTAATATCAAGTGCATGAAATTGTTGTTGTGCATGTGCTGTTATGTGCTTTGTTGATAGGTAAAGTACATAAATGATATTCTAGGGTTGCATGGGTGGATTATAAGAATGGTGAAGGGTTATAGGCTAAGGTTTTTGTTGTGCAAATTTTAAATTTTGGGTCTATAAAATAGGTCTAGGGAATCTAAAGGAGTTTTCTTTGAAGATATAAAGATTGATGAGAGAGATGCAGAGGTTATCTAAGTCACGGTTTTGTTGTTAAAATAGGTTGGAATCTTGATGTGAGTGTATAAAACTAGTGCATTGATAGGTAGTGTCCAGAGAAATATTCTCTCTCTAATACATCAATATCTCTCTCTTCAACCATTAAAAGTCATTTACATTTCTCTCTCTCTGCATTTAATTCTTCAAACATCCATTTATGTTTCTCCCTGCATTTAATTCTTTCAACTACGTATTCATCAAATTGCATAACTCACTTAGGTTTATGTTTTTAACGGTGTGAGGGAAAAGGATGAGATTGAACATTTTTTAACGAAATATGGAGTTTTATTGAACTTTTCTAAAAAGTAGAATCACTTTGAACCAAAGAACCTTTATATTATCTAGGAAATTTTTAATTATTTTTATTTTCATTTTATTTCTTCATTTATTATAAATCAATATTATATGCAAATAACCACATACAAAACGTACTCTCTTTTTTCACAATTAAAGTTGATGATATAGATAAATTCACTCCGTAAACTACACGATGAAAAATAAACTAATGCATTTAGGGAACTGTATGAAAAACCAAGGTTATGTACTGTTTAGAAAAAAAAATACGGATAATTAAATTTAGAGAAATTTTTGATTTTATTTCTTATTTTTAGACAAAACTGCTTTTTAGTTTTCGTTCCAAACAGAAGAGTAAGTCTTTAAATAAAAACATTTTAAGTTATTTTTTTTCCAATATTATCACAATAAATTTTATCACCAAATATAGTTCACACAATTATAAAGAACTAATTCATTGATTCTGAAATTGATATATCAAAACTAAATTTGATAAAAAGCATAGCCTTAAAAAATTCTAATGCGCATCTGTCGAGGGTGGAAAGTGTGACAAACCACAGATAACTAGTTTAATAGCATTATAAACATCTTGTCATCAAACAGGGTCCATAGCTCAGTGGTAGAGCATTTGACTGCAGATTAAGAGGTCACCGGTTCGAACCCGGTTGGGCCCTCTTCCTTTCATTTTTAACAACCCTTCCTCTTTTATGACATTTTCCCAACTGTCTACATACAATTAGTCTTTAATTATATGTATTTATTTTCTTAACTCTTATCCTTTATAATTCTTTTGAGAATCTTTCATTGATCTTAAAATAGATCTTTTGGAAAATAAATAGCGTGTTAAAAACATTTAGAGGAGTTAAGAAAGAAACAAAAATCTATTTTTGTTCATTCCATTTATTTTTTTAAAGAGGGTCTTATTTTGTTGCATCCAACATTTTTTTATGTGATTTTTGCATGAGATAACTCATTATTGAGAGCTGTTTTAATCCATCTATAGTCATAGCTTTATCATTCATATACTTTATATAATAAATATACCTCAGGGATTTTCTTCCTCATGTCTCATATTTTTAGAATTAGACTTTGAAGCTCACAATTCTTTTCCTTTCTTATATAATTCTTCTACTTTTATTTATTATCCTCAATAGTGAAAATTTATTATTTAACCATACTATATCACAACAATTATAAATGGCATTGAAAACTCTTCATTAAATATAAAAATGAATGGAAAGTTTTATAGAAATGAGATAATTAATTGGTATGCAAGAAAAAACAAGATCCATAAACATAACATTTTAAAGTTTTATATTGAAAATGGTATCAAAATTTTTATACATACAACTCATACTTCAAAAGATGGTTAATATCTCTGTCTATCTTAGTAAAAAA